AAACAAACAAACTTATGTTAGCATATAAATATGCGAATATACTACAATTGTAATTACTGTAATAATACGCGCCACTATATTGTTAGAACATCAAATTTTGCTTTCAAGGTTGCACTCATAAACATGTTTCTAAAACTCGACAACCTTGTCACGCCTTCATAGAACAATTGAATGCTTCTTTACGTGTACACAAATAACGTGAACATTAGTACTGACACCCTTGGTAAAGTTACTTCAACCTTATTTGAGGTTCGTGAAACCCGTACATAAGCAATGAATTCTTTGCATAGCTATACCGTTACATAACATACGTGTACAAAGACAAGTCTGTATACACCCCGGAAACAACGTTATTATTTACATCCACGAACAGCCTGTACGGGAATTTTTTATGGGCATAATATTAATTAAAGGTTGAATAAAGATTAGAGTTGAACTATTATTCCAAACTAAATATAATTGATTAATCAGCTAAGGTACTAATATAATGAAAACACAACACTCATTCATATAATCTACTGTTCGAAACGCCAACCACTACACCAAGTCCAGCCCACATGTATTTAATGCATTTTAAACTAACGATAACAGGTCAGTCGAAAAAGCTACAAGTTTGTCCTAATTTGTTTTGATTTAATTTACTTCTTCGCTTTCTCTATATAATATTTTTTTCAAGGGTTTAAATGTTTTATCTAAATGTTCTAAGAAATATCTGAATACGAATTTGAATATTATAAAAAAAACACAGATATGGTTAATATATCACCTCATTTGTTATTTTATCAGAACGCGTTATTTAAGGTAATCGATTGCATTGAACACATTAACTATACTGCTAAAAGTTAAATACATCACCAGTGGTAACGAGCATGACATTACACAATTTTTATATGAATATATGGTACTATAGTGCATAGGATTTCAAGTAACAATCAGCCGGATTGTTTCTTTTGTTGACTTTCGCGCAAAACAACACGAGGAGAGTTATTTGCTTTAGCCGTACCCAAGTTAGAAGTAATAGACCAGAGGAAAAGCAGCTTGTCAATACCACTCATCGTCAACACTTGAGCTACTCTGATCTAATAGTGGGATTAACCATTACATTATAACACTCCCACGAGCCAGTTAGAATGAAGAGGACACGAGGAAAAAAGTTCACGGTCTTTCAGAAATGAATGGTTATTGGAAAAGTGTTAGTTTTGTCTTCTTATCATGGTCAAACCTGGAATTAACGCCAATTAAAATTCGCCCCTCATTCGATAGTCTACCCTATTTACCAAGGTGTACTGTCTCAGTGCATTTTATAACATACTTCAAATGTTATATCCATATATTCCACTAAATACATTCCCTGCAATAACGAGCGCAACCTTACACAGTTTTCATGTTAATATATCGCACAATACTGCATAGAATTTCAAGTATCAAGATAACACTCGTAAATATGTTTCGAGAAATCGGTACGCAAACAACATCAACATAAGTACTGACACACGTTATAAATCTCGAAATTTAACTTCAGTGTTATCTTGGTATAGAGTGATTGAATAGCAACATTTTTATACAGCGTCATAGGATTCCCATTACTGTAAATAAAACGCTTGAACAAAACTTGTAACACAGCTACAAAACCACTGAATTCATGTCCGAGTAGCAGCAGCTTTACCAAGACATTTCATTAATCAATTTTTTAGTACAAACGTTCGCTTCTAATAATAAGGAGACTTTCTCGATCTTATTGTTATATATTACGCTTCTGAACGAGTTTTTCTCCAAAAATTCAAGGAGTTAACTAAATATAAAAAACTGATTATTTACTAAAGGCACACAAGTAAACTTACAGCACTTAGTCTACTGTGATAAGACGTCACAAATCGAAATGTTGTCCCGGTGTTCGAGTAAATCCTTTTGGGATGCTTATATATTTAGGTTTCGATTTTTTGAAAGAATCCCCCGATTTTTTTTATACTAGCATTCAGTACTTTAAGCCTCCGACAAACGGGAACCCCGAGATACAA